TTCGGGACAAACAGCTACATCTTGGCAACCTCACTGACTCGCACGTAGTTGTAAAGGCATAACTGAAGAGAATTTGGCTCACGGTGGCATTTTATTTACAACCACAAGGACTGTCTAAATCAGGGGTCGGCAACGTTTGGCACGCGGCTCGCCAGGGTAAGCACCCTAGCGGGCCAGGCCAGTTTATTTACCTTATTTACCGATCGCGGCCCCCACTCGCCGCGGTTCGCCGTCCCTGGCCAATGGGGGCGGCGGGAAGCGGCGCGGGCAAGGGATGTGCTGGCCGCGGCTTCCTCCCGCCCCCATTGGCCCGGGACAGCGAACCGCGGCCAGTGGGGGCCACGATCGGCCGAACCTGCCGCATCAGCAAGTAAATAAACTGGCCCGGCCCGCTAAGGTGCTTACCCTGGCGAGCCGCGTGCCAAACGTTGCCGACCCCTGGTCTAAATCAACATTGCAGCCAAAGACCGTTCTGTAAATACTACAGGCCTGATTCTGATCTCACTTAAAAAAGTTTATCTCAGGAGAAACTGCTTTGCTGTCAGGAGCGCTACACTACCATACAACTGGTGTAAGCGAAATCACAAGGAGGTCGCCTAAAACTCTGACAGCAAATAAGGTAAGTTGAGATCAGGCCAACGTTTTCAAGCCTGGCTACTTAAAACCTCAAACACCTACATCCATATTTAGACATCTAATTAAAGTGGCCCCAGTCTAAATTTATATATTCAAGTTTGAAAACTGGCTGGAGTTCAGATATGGACCAAGCATGTGCTCCTGTGTTTAAGTATATCTCGGGGACCAAAATTCTATTTATCTGTCTTTTGTCAGCAAATAAGAGGCAGCCATTTAGAAACATAAACAGTTGGCACACACGTTCTATATGAGAAGAACACCAATACGTGAGCAGCTTTAGCATCTGAGTCTTCCTCAGCCGTGTTTTGCCCAACCACTCCCAAGCATTCTTGCACATAAGTAAGAAGGGTGGCACAGAGCAACTGAGACAGGAAATAATTACAAGCAAAAGGGAAAAGAGAGCTAAGAGATTGACAGTACTTTCCTTAGTATGTATTCCAAACAACACGCAGGGAAGACAGGGGTTGGCAGATTAAACAAAACTGTCAGAATAAATAAGGCTGGAGGAGATCCTGAAACACAACCCCATTTACCTTGAACGTATCTCTTTCTTTTATTGTCTTTTGGTTATACCATGGCTCATCATTAAATGGATTACTCTGCCAGATGTATTTCAGAGTGGTGCACACCGTAGCTTTACTCACTAAGATGCATAAATACACTATCAAGAAGGCGTTGATTGATCTGAAAAATAGGTTTATTTTTAAAATCCATGCAGCTATTTTTAATACTCAATCATGCAAGCAATCAGGGTTAGACTATTCTCATTTTTAAAAGGGAAACTCTATAGACTACTGCTTTTGACAGCCCTCATCTTTAGGGTCAAATCCAGGATTTTTAATACTTCTCACCCGGTAGAGTAAAGCATAAGCCTGGAGTAATACTTTTTAAAAGTTCGACTAAATGCTGTAGCTTTTTAGGAGACATGCTTAACCCAATACAGGTCTATCTCATCTTACGCGGGGATTCCGTTCCGCGGTTAGCGTGTAAAGCGAAAACTGCGTATAGCCAAAACCCCATTGAGTTCAATGGCGGGTGAAAGCGCCCACACAACAGGTATAGTATGAAAATTGTTGTTTTTCCTCTTTTTTTGTTTTTGTTTTTGCCGACCGCGTAAAGTTGAAATCGCGCATGTTAAATGCGCGTAAGATGCGACAGACCTGTATACAGATTTTCTACACGGAGTGTATCGGAAACAAAAGGCAGCAAATGCTGGGATTATTTCTGCACAAATGAACCCATAAGGAAACGAACAGTTTTTATAAACTTTTCTCCTTCTGAAGCACACTTACTTTTCTACAGCTGAACGTTTTTGTGATTTTCCTTGGTAGTTCAAAGCCATTTTTGTTTCCATTCCAGTATAAACCGCAACTCCTACAGAACATTAAAGCATCACTTGTAATCGTTCCCTTTCTGAGTTGCAAGCCTACCTCTCACTTGTCAGTGAGGTACATCAACGTTTGCACAGTGCTTTAGATTCATTATCCACAGACAGCGGTATTACCCAAATGTTATGCATTGTTATTTAAGCAAGGAACCCCCAGTGGTATCGAATAATGCTAACACAAGTGCCACAATAAATCATCTGAAGGTTGATGAGAGGCGTGAACTCCCGAATAGTTTCCCAGAGCATAAATTTATTTCTGTACAAAGTTTGTTAAATTTAGCAAACATTTTCATCTATCACAACTGCTTGTACAAACTGACAGGGGAAAAAAAAGATAGCTTCATACAAGTGTATATATGCGAGGGTATTAGTGGAATTGGCAAACAAATGTATTGCAGTACTGATCGTTATTTTGAAAAGGCCTGGGTGAGGGGAAGAAGAGCAGGAGACGTAAGGAGAAAAGCAGAGACAGTACAAAATCCACTCAGAATGTGGTACTGACAATTAGCACCCTGTAAGTCCAACTCCTGCCAAAAGTAAAAGGAAACAAGTACTGGGAAGGGGGAAAAAAGAATCTCTGAAAAATCTAGACCAAATTCAGTATTGGTGTAAGCAGGTGCAAATCCACTTCACTTCAATGGAGCTACAGCCATTTATACCTTGGCTCAGTTTATTTCCCTGAAGGATAGTGGAACCATTAGCAGTATGGAGTTGATAAGGGATACATTTTTGCCAGACAAACTTTGCTGCTTTTTGGACAGACTTACAGGTGTTAGTGGATGGAGATAAAGTACTGGGTGTATGGCCAATAATTTTCAAAAGGGACTTGCAACTTGAGACACTGTAAAGGGGTCCCTACATGGCAGAAAATGCTGAGCTGGGCCTCTTTAAAGGCGTCACAAATAGATCGGAGTGAATAATTGATTATTTTTGTTTGTTTGGGAGCTGAGCTGAAAAAATCTGCTGTGATTCTAACCAAAAGCATTCTTCAGAAATATTTTGTCCATCACAAACTAAAAAAAAAATAATAATCATTTCTAATCCACCAAAACATTCCAGGTCAATTCAAAATTATTATTTTTTAATTATTTTGAATCTACAAAAACATTTTGGTCAACTCAAAATGACTTTTTATGGGGGGGGATTTTCATTTCGATTTGGCCCTCTTCACCCCCCGCCCTTTTTTTTTTTTTTTTTAAAATTTAAAAAAGAAATTCAAAATTTGGGAAGCCTTAAAAAAAAAAAAAAAGCATTTTTTCAGCAAAAATTCTATTTGCCAAAAAAAATTCGCCCAGCTTTAGTTTCAAGATGGGCTCTCAAAAAGCACAAGTAATTTCTGAAGATCCTGGTCAACATATTCAGATTTCAGTTAAACATCTGACACAGTAGCTCATGAAATCTTACTCTCAAAATTAATTCATTAACTTGTGTATGAGCATGAGATATGTACAGAGCACTGAAAGAAGCAGTGTAGACAGTTTTCCATCACTAGATGCTACGATAGACATTTCGATTTGTTTGCTAACTTCATTCAGTTATCCATCGGCACTATCAATAAAAAGCTGCTCACCATAAATCTTCTTTGTATTTTTTAAAGTAGAACCCTTCAGCAGCAGATTTTCGGGACCCAAAGACCTAAACACAGAAAAAGTTATAGGATCAGATTGCTTACAAACAATTTCATTCCAACTTGGTTACATGTTATACCCAGAGTTAAACAAAGCTAAAGCAGAAGTCCTTTAAACCCAAATACTGTAAATACGCTTCATTCTGGGGATTGGTTTGTTTTTTTTTCTCTTAAATAAGGGATTTGTTTATTTTGGCCAGGGCCGGCTTTAGGACCTGCGGAGCCCGATTCGAATACCCGGCGGCGGCGGGTCCTTCATTCAGCTCCGGGTCTTCCACGGCACTGAAGGACCCCCCCACACTGCCGAAGAACCGGAGTGGACCCCCCCGCCGCCGAAGTGCCGCCGAAGACCTGGAGCAGACCACCGCCGGGTGAGTAAAAAAAATTTAAAAATTAAAAAGGTGCTTAAGGCGCAGGGCCCTCTTAGGCACGGGTGCAGGCCCTCTTAGGCACAGGGCCTGATTCCGGGGAATCGGCCTAAAGCCGGCCCTGATTCTGGGACTGTATTTTTGCCTTCACACCGATATTTACATTTGTGGTTTCTTATCTCTTATCACACAAAGTATTACTGGTATTCAGACTCTCCACTGTCTAACTCATTTTAGAATTCAAGTCAAGATTTTCAAGAATAAGTACCTGATGCTAGAGTCTAAAACCTATACTTAGGCACCTAAATAAGTGGACTAATTTTCAAGAGTGCTAAACCCCCTGGAGCGTTTCAAAAAAAAAAATCGATGATGCTGTAAAATGTTTTACTTATTTTTTTGCTCCCATGTTGCTCTGTCTGTTCTATTAATTCCTTATTTCCCTTCATGACCGCTTGCCATTTCCACTTCTAATCCTAAAAGGGTGGCAGAAGTTTTAAAGGCGAGAAAAGTTTGTGTAAATCCTCAAAAATCAATTTGTCAGGTTTCAAGGGTCCCTCACAAGTTCTGTATTGCAGTTAGTATCTGAGACCACCATTAGTCTCTCAACTTAAGAATCTGAGGGGCACAGCTGCTGGCATCTCTGCTTGACCAGCGAGAAACATCACAAGCACTACAAATGCAGGCTGAGAGGTGACCATTTGGTTTTCAAAGCCCTCCTGTCCCTTTCTGTGCTGTATAGGAGGTCAGATTAGATCGTCACAAAGGTCCTTTATGGCCGTGGAATCGAAAACTCTTAGAATTCCAAAACTCTTGGGTTAACGGACATGCTTGCTTCCACTTCTATCTGAAATCTATCTTTCACTGCTTCTTGGATTCAAGTTTGATTTTCTTCTTTACTTTAAAATTTGGCCCATTAATTTTGCAGCATTGTTGGTGAATTGGTGCTTTCTCCTGTGATATACACAAAGATGTTAGCATGAAACATGCTTTTACAATACACAGCTGGAATAAACAGACTAAGTCCGTCATCTCTAGACTTTCTAGTGTGTCTTTTTCTTTGTGTCTGTAAAGTGTAACTTTATTAAGGCAGGGACTGTCTTTGTGTTCAGGTTTTACACCGCTCTGAGCACATGGCTGTACTCACTACATAAACAGCAACAGGGAAAACAGTTTTGCAAACTAATGTACATACGCCGCTTAGGGGGGAAAAAAACATTTTGTGCACAGAAACAGCCTATTTGACAGACCCACAATCAAAAACCTTCCCCTCAGGAAATCTACATTCTCACCCACCCTCTATTGTGTCCCACTGATGCAGAAAATGTACTGGTCACCCAAAACACGGGCTGCACCTCATTAGAACCCCAGCTCTTCAGCAAAGCGAAGGCTGGGCTTGCTGGAGAGCAGATGTTGTGAGCACATGCCCAGCACATCACTCTTTGCTTCTTCTGGTTCTGGTCAGCGGGAGTGAAACTGACGGAGGATCCTGCCCTGCAAGAGCTCAGAGAGCAGGGAGCCTGTCAGTTTCATTTATCCGCCAGCTCACCAGGATGATTCCAGCAGGGGTGATAGAGGATGCAGAGGGTTGCACATGTGCTCACATCCTGTAAACTCCCACATCGGCAAACCCAACACACACAACATCCTGGGGCATTTGTTGGAGATTGTCACAGCTGAAGAGCTGGGGGTTTTAAGAGGGCTTGCTGCCCTCATAAGAACGGCCATACTGGGTCAGACCAAGGGTCCATCCAGCCCAGTATCCTGTCTGCTGACAGTGGCAATGCCAGGTGCCCCAGAGGGAATGAACAGAACAGGTAATCATCAAGTGATCCCTCATTCGGAATGACTGAAATTTTCTCAAGTCACTAGAACACATAAAACCAAACTGCAACACGAAAGAAAAGAGGTAGGATAAGAAAGCTCAAATTTCAGGCCTATTAATCTCCACAACTCCTCTTTGATAAGCAGGACGCTACGAACTATCAATAAAGAAATAATAAAGAAAACAAACACCATATGCAATGAGTAACAATGAGCCAAGTGAACTAACCGGGCTACAGGCTCCTGGTTACTTCTGTAGATGTTAATTCTTCCAACAAATCTGTGATCAAAATATATAAGAGGACATTGGTTAACTATATATTTAATTACAAACATAAGAAACGTCACAACAGACAGGTGGGAAGAAATGAGAAGGTTAGAGGACATCAGAGTCTTATGCTCTCAGAGAGAAGGCGCTTTGGAAAGCACACATTACGCAGGCCAGGATCCAACAAAGTACTTAAGCACATGCCAAGCTTTAAGCGTGCAAGGAGCCCCACTGACTAGAATGAGGCTGTTCTTGTGTTTCAGCACCTTGCTGAATTGGGGCCAGGGTGCCAATGGGTTTCCACCCTGAAAATTGTTCAGAAAGGTAACAAAGCCATGTTTCTAAGCAGGCCTACACCCAAGTTTGTAAAGGCATATGGGGCTAGTGATACTTTGGTGCACTAGCACCTCCCAGGGCAGATGCTTTGCCATCTAAGTCCAATTTCCAGGGAGCTTTGCCGGACAGCTCAGTAAATTCCCCAGGAACATCTGCAAGTGTTACCTTAAAAAGCCTTTCATTCCTTGTGGACAACATGAAGACAATCACTTTTTTGAATTCCATGCAGCCTATTCAGCTGGAACGAGAATTCAGCGGCTCCCTTAAACTACTTTGTTAGACGGGTGCCAATGGCTCACTAGTTTGCCCGGTCAAAGGACACTAAGTGATGGACAAACGACAAGGATCAGTTGAGTACCAGGAGTAGTGGCTGTTCCCGTTCTTACTTGTAGAGGTCAGGTTGAGGCTGCTCACATTCAATTGCGGCAGTAAGGGAGTCGATGTCATCATCTGTCCGGAGCTCAGTCGTATCCCGCACTGCATAATGAGTCTAGGTGGAAAGAGCAGCAAGAGTTATTATGGAGTCACACAACTCCACTGAAGCACAAGTACAGAGAAGGTCTTCGCCCAATGAGTTGTTATAGCTCAGTCCTTAAAACACTGATGTATACGGGGGCTTGTCTTAAGCGACCACTCAAGTAACCCATCAGTTGTTTAAGGATGGAGCGGGAGGAGAGGGCAGGGTCTTCTAATGAAAGGCAGAACAGGTTGGAATTTAATATGCTTAGGAAATACTTTGGACTGGTCTGGTAAGACAGAGGGTTACTTAAGAAGGGAGGTCTCTTGTACCTGCCAATAAATTATGAGACATACTCCTCCTTCAGGGCTGTCCTAAGGCATGGTGAACTCCTGCAACACTGGTTTACTTCAAAAGATAGCTACAAGTGCTCAACAGGTGTTCAGCTCCCCTAAGGAAATTGCCCGGTGCAGCTTCTGAAGGTAATTAGAAGATAGCTCTGCTGCCAGGGGAGCAGGAACAGTATTGACAGAACCAAGAGCTATTCTTAGCATCAACTGCTGTGAAAGTTCCTTTCTCACATAACTAATTGGAAAGCCTGGGAAGACTCCAATTCACTGTTTTTAAAGTTCTATTTATAGAAACTACTTAACAGTTCTAAACTTCAGTCAGCAAGATAGATTGCCTTAATCGGTCTCCAAAAACACATTCACTAAAAAGCTTTCTCACTTCTTAGCCTTGGATTCCTCTTCCTGAAACTGATGGGAGAAACAGCTATAGTACACAAATTATAAACAGCATTTTGAATACCAGTGGTGAATGATTTTGTAGTAGAATGTCTGTGTCTTACATCAAAAATTCCACACCCCCCACAGGACAGGTAAGCCTCAGTTACGCTGTTCTGCCATTTTCCCCACTCTTCCTCCCTGCCCCCCAAACTTCTTCTTTGTTACATCAATATTCAGGAGACAACCGCTAATGACCAAGCAGAAACAATATAAGATACTTATTGTAGAACTTTAGTGTCACATTTCAAATGCTCAAAGTCAGGAAACGTGTTCCGGTTCTGAAATTAACTCAGCCGTGTTGCACATCCTTGTATATTTTATGGCATACATTTAAACCGGTTTTAATATAGGAAGGCGTACTTTAGGGTTGTGGAGCTTGAAAGCTCCACTCCTCTTTGCTAACCTAGCCACTAAGGTTGCAAACCCAGCGCTACTTGGCTTGTGAAGTTCATAAGATGCCCAGGAGAAAGGCTCACTTCTAAAGAGTTGGTGAACTCAATACAATCAAAAATATTTCAACACAGAATCAGCTTCCACGCATATATTTCTACATTACCTAATGGCTATCAATATAGATATTAGCCACGTACCTGATCCAACACCCTTTTAACGAATGAAGATACATACGCCCACTGACGTCTGTGGGAGTTGGAAGGAATTCTACACTACTAACATTGTTCCACACTTAGTACTACAGCTACCAATGTTAGCACAAATTACTCCTGTGCATGAGTGAAACCAAGTTTTCATATCCTTAGAGGGGGGTTTCAATTGGAGGGTGGGGGGAGAAAGGTAGAGGGAATAAATTAGAGAAAGAATTCATCCTCAGTGAGGTCTACCCAACTGGTACAATTTCAAATCTCAAAGTTCAGCCCTTTTGAGTCATGAGTATGAAAAAATGCATCTTAAAATTTTCTGCCAATGGGAACAGAGTATAGTTTAAATGACTAGAAGGCTTTTTCTGCAAAACAATCCAGAACAATTCACCTATGAGTTCATATCAAGCATGAAGAATTTCAGTCACAAAAAGAGGACAACTACTCATAAGTGCAGAGAGAGCGAAAGCAGGAAGTTATAGAGTGAAAGCCCTGATAAAATCTCAATTGCAAAGGTCACTACGGGTGACTGCTTTAATAAACCAGCTGAAACTGCAGTGATCTATTTACTAATTCATTAGATCTTTCTACATGGGGAATAAGATGAAAGTGGTAACCTGCTTTAGCAGGATAAATAATACAGCATGCAGGTATATCTGTCAAGACCAACACAGTTTGGAACAGTGCCATTAGGAATAGTTATTTAAAACACACACCAAAAAAAAAAAAAAAAAATCCATACAGCACTTCAGTGTTGAGTGACTGGATGAGAGAGCTAAATGGAAATGGAAGCTAAACACAGCCAATCACAATCAGAGTGTGTGATCCCAAAGCGTTCTCAAACTGAACTGACAGACACCCAGGCTGACTTCAGTTGCAACTAAAACAAAACAAAAAATCGGAGCACAGAGGAGCCACTGAAATGCATTTACTCTGCACTCTAGACTCCTGCCTGAAGTGTTTTCATTCTTGTTACCTTGAAATTCGACTCGCCATCCAGACTTGCCGTCGTGACGTAACAGATCCCATCGTCATTACTCGATGCCAAAAAGATCAGATCACAGGGGAAGGTTTCGTCTGCTTTCACTTCTACAATGTCCCCAACCTGGAAAGAATGCAACTATGGTTTTTTAATGATTCATTTCATCAGGCCCTGAAGGAAAAGATTAAAGGTTTAATCAGTTTATCTTTTTTTTTATCCAAGTCTACAAGAAAGAAGACAAATCCTCTCCGATCATGGGAATTTGAAGAGCTTTTTAAGCTTACCACCAAAAAAAAGTACTGCAATTGTGTAACTGTCCCCGATGATTTGCCATCCACATGCTAGAACTGTTGCTCAACGCTAATTATCAAGACTGCATAACGATAGCAATACAGTACCTGCACATTTACTCTGTCTTACAATGGTTCCATATTTAACAACTTTCACCCACTTCAGTAGGACCTCTGTGCAGTGATTGTTCGCAGGACAATAGAATTTGAAGTTTGAGCGCCCTTGGAAGGGGTTTAACAAAGCTATGAAATTATTTCACTATTGAGTGGAAATGTAGTAATGTAGTCGGACTCCAGATCTTTTCTCCTTTATCTGACAGTATGCTTGATAATTACCCACCATAGCCCTTGTTCATATATGTAGCTCACACACACACACCCCTACTAGACTTCCAAGTGGAAAGCTTTTTCTTCAGTTAGGACTATTCCGTAGCAGCTGCTGCATACACTACGTTCCCTCACTACCTAGCTTTGGAAAATACTCATTACTGGATGGAGGGGACACGGCACTTGCTGTGAGGAGATGGAGCAGAGTGAAGTTTTCTTTACACTCAAGATAGTACCCAAATAAGTAGCATTTTTTAAATTTATATTTTCTTGATTTTTCTTCCTTTCATTTGCTGCTGAGGGACCCTGAGTCACGCTCTTGACAACGTGTAACAGAACCCTCTGCTCAAAGGCCTCACACCTCCCTCCACCCCAAGAGGAAAACACAAGTGTGACCTTAAGAGCCCCTCAATGCCAACCGGCAAAGGGGTCACTGTGCTGCCACGGTAACTCTTGACAGGCCTGACAAACTCACTACACCCAGCACCCTGTTTTCACAGTATTTCTCCATAAAGAATGTCATGTGAGGTCTTCAGTGAAAGCCAGGCTCACAGTGGTCATTAACACTGAGGTGAAATGTCTGTACAAATGCCATGGAAGAAGTTATGTATACATAAACTGAAAATACGTTCCTAAAGAAGTCAGAATCAAGACGGGGTTGATAAACGGGATTCTGCCAGACGAAGGACGTATAATCATCTGTCTCCCTCGGTCCACATGTAAATTAAGCATTGTAAGCCAACAGAATGGAGGCTCTATTTGCACACGAAGTCAGTATACCAAGGAATAAACCCCCAGGGGGTCATCCTGACGTGGGGGACCAACAATGAATTTTGGGGCTATAAAGGAAAAGGCAAAAGGAAACCTCTTTATCCTGTACCTAAGGAAGTGCGATTACATTCATGAAAATGAGATCCCAACCTGCCCTGCCTGGAAGCACTGTAAAGGACCTTTGGGTGAGAAAAGATTGCTTTTTAAATTAAGTTTAATCTCTGGAAAGCATGTACTGATTTTGTTTTATATGTAATCCACTATCCTTGCTCACCATCTCTTAAATTGTAGCCTTTGATAATAAACTTAGGCTTGTTTTCACTATAAATATATCTCAGTAGCTCATCCTCCATGGAACCAAACACGCTGGTGTGAACTCTGTTCCTCTGGGGACAGCTTACCTGGTATTACTGTGTCTTTGTCTACACTGGCAATTGAACGACAAAACTTTTGTCTTTCAGAGGTGTTAAAAAAAAACCACACACACACACCCCCCGAAAGACAAAAGTTTTGCTGACGACAAGCGCTGGAGTGAACAGCGCTTTGTCGGCAGGAGCGCTTTGCTACCGACAAAGCTAACCCCGCTCGTTGGGGGTGGAAGTTTTTTGTCGGCAGGAGAGCAGACAAACAGCGGCTACGCTGCGCGACTTTTAGCAGCACGGCTGTAGCGACAAAGCTGTGTAGTGCAGACATAGCCTGTGAGTGTTCGGTGGAGAAGGAACGGAATGCTACGGAGAGACATTTCAAAGGGGCCTGGGGACTAGGGTACACCTATTGGCGATCTGCAAGGCAAAGCAAGGGCTGCCATAACCCAGAGGAGAGGGGCTGAAGAGCTGGTGGCATCAGGGAGCTGACATCCAGCTACCACAAGACTCCCTCTTGCTGGAGGCTGGGGGTAACAAGGTGACTCAGCCCTGGGCACCCCAAGAACTGTCACAACAAGCCACTAGCAAGTATTTGTTCTTACAAATGCTGTTGCATTCTATCCCAATATTAGAGCACCAAGGAAAAACCTCCACCACAGATTAAACGAACCATCCCAGCTCTGTAAATTAAACTTGTTAGCTAGGGCCCCTTTCTAAGCACTGAGGGCCATTCTCTCCCAGGCACTCTGGGCCAGTTCTGCCCTCCGACAACCAGAACTCCTTCTGATTTCAACCAGCGCTGCACACCTGTATCCAAGTGCAGGACTTGGCCTGAGAAGTCAGCCCAACTCAGCAGGACCACGGACTAGGATAAGAGACACCTCCTTACAATTTCACATAAAAATGTATAAAAAAAGTAGCCATCTAGCATTCTACAGTGAGAGGTGATAAATCAGCATCTCTGCTAGCAGACATCTTCTCAGACGTCCTTGGGAAGCTCGGGATAAAGGAAGGACTGCCTGTTCCAGTCACCAAATGAAAAATGATCAGAGGTAAGTTACTCATCAGCCCCACCAGTAAAGTGCATGCATGGCAGCCTTTCAAAGAAGTGACCACACAAAAGCCAAGCAAGCACCTGGTTATTAACTGGAATGGCTCGTAAGGTTTCCAGTCTGAAAACAAACTGAGGTTTAGGGAAGGGGATGGGAAGACAAAAAGTAACAACTGCAGAATTAGGCCCTTAGCATATTCAAGTATTCAGCCACAGCGTCGGATTCTGCTACCACATCAATGGGAGTTTTCCCAATGGCTCCCAGGTGCATCCCTCTCTCTTTCTATTAATGGTTACCTTGATTTTTTCGCTGTGTTTTTTCACTTGCTTTGCATTTTCAACAATGAAGACGCTGCTTTTATTTACTTCCTTGTCAGCTCTGTGTCTCAGCCAGTCCTCATAGCCCTAGACATTCCAATATACAGGTAACACAGTCAAGCCCAGGTAGTGAAGTAAATAAATAAATAAATAAAGTTGTGAGAGAGAGGGAGATAAAAAAGCAAGTAAGTTAAACACAGTTATCAGAGCTCCTTCATGCACGCCAGAACGTCGACCTGAATAGCTCCGTCTGAACCAAGTTAATTTTTAAAAACTTCACATATACATTTGACAGATTCAGAACAGACTAAAACAACACACACAAAACTAATCTTTAGGCACTGCATGCAAAGAGCATCTAAATTGCTGTGACATGTTTCTATTATTCTCAAGATTGGCAAGAATACGCTGATCATGTGAATAATATGCTTAGTGCCCCGTTATTCTCACTTTTCCAGTCTAACACAGGAAAAGACTTTCTTTCTCTTCAGTCTCAGCTAAAGAATACAAAAGCCAAATTCGGATTTAACTCTAGTACTCCTTTCCGCTCCCCAACTGATTCCCTTTACAAAAACATCAAATAATGCAGTTTTAAAAAGGGGTGCGTACGGTTAATTTTTTTTTTTTTTTTAACATTACTCAATGAAAGAGGTCTACAAGTTTTCAGGACTAGATATTGTTTGACTAGAACTATTCTTGTTTTTCCATTGACGTCAGAGTAGAATAGAAACTGGATTTATATCATGCTTCTTTAACCTCCAAATCAGGTCCAAAGTGCATTTTTAAAATGGAAGAAATAAATTATAGTAGTGCAGTGAACGCAGAGGCAACCATCAACAGCAATAGCTCACAACATGACTTTAAATAAACACACACACACAGATTACAAAAGCCATACTGAAAATGAGAAAATGCAATCAAATCTACAAAAATTGGACAGAGAACTTAGGTTCGGCATAGTATCCAAAATTACTTTTTTATTTCAAATTTTAAGTTAAATAGATTTCACATTGATAGTGTTCCTCTAACCTTGGCCCTCTATTATTTCAAATATATGTAGAGTCAAGTATATATGTCTTTATATGCCAAATCTCTCTCATCCATTCTGCCATGAACATACTTAAAAACCCAAAGCAAATACACACACACTACTGTAGCAATTTGTTGCTCACCCCCATGCCCTCATGAATCAAAAACATTACCTGTTTGATAGCTGTAACAATAATCACAAAGAAAAGTGGAAGTCCACTGGTTACTGGACTGGTTGGTGTATCTACTATGACCTACAGAAAAAAACAAAACAACTTGTGTTATAATTTTTTTTAGGGAGTCATTATCAAATGCTATCATTAGAGTTGATTCATTCAACACACTCTGTGGCTATGTCTTCACTACCCGCTGGATCGGCGGGCAGCGATCGATCCAGCGGGGATCGATTTATCGCATCTAGTCTAGACGCGATAAATCAACCCCCGAGCGCTCTCCCGTCGACTCCTGTACTCCAGCGCCGCGAGAGGTGGAGGCAGAATCGACAGGGGAGCGGCAGCAGTCGACTCACTGCAGTGAAGACACCACAGTAAGTAAGTCGACTTCAGCTACGTTATTCACATAGCTGAAGTTGTGTAACTTAGATCAATCCCCCCCGCCCTCCCCACAGTGTAGACCAGGGCTGTATTAAGTAATACAAGCCCCAACTATGAGCATGCTCAGGAAGAGTGGGCACATGGAGTGTAGGAGGGAGATTTACATAAGCACCTTAAGAACTGAGGCATACAAATCCCACTGAAAGTCAATGGAAAGTCTCCTAAGTGACTATGAAGTTTTGTTCCGAAGCAGACTGAGGCAGCTGAACAAGTTTCTGTATCCAACAGGGCTTAGAGAATGCGTCTCAGTCACGCACCTTTGTGGTGTGCAGCCTAAGCAAGGGGCATTATGGGTTCAAACCAGAAAGTTTCCATGCACCTGCCTGCCCACACACCGTATAATCTGCACCAAACATGGTCAGTTTCACCTTGAAGATTGAACAGCAGGGCCAGCACTGGGTACCATGTTCAACAACCACACCATGGACCATTCTCTAGTATCATCAATAGAACCCAAACCAGAATTGCCAGAATGAACTAAGATGCCTTTTCCTTGCTCCTCCTATTGTGATGGTGTCTAACTGGCTGGTTCACAAAATCCAGTCATCTGCAAGGGGAGGCCAAGCTTCTGGGGAGTTCTACATGTATGGTCAGGGCAAGTGGGCAGAGCGCCACTGACTCCTTCCCCACAGGGCAGGACAAATGCACAGAGGAGCCACTGATTGGCTCCTTTAACAAGAGGGGTGGAACGGAGCAGGAGGGTCAGGCATGGAGTGGGAGTGGCAAAGCAAGGCACGTCAAAATGCCCACAGCAGGGAGCTGAGCCCAGCCAGCCCTGCAGAGTGACCAGCTGCAGAGGAGTGGGGCATAATGGAACCAGATCACTGTTCCGGCTCCACTACACCACTGTCTCCAACCCACAGCTCCTTTCAGAGGATGGGATGGGGAGCCAGAAGCGGCAGTGACGCCCTACAGGAAGCCTGGGCAGGCCCCATTAATTTGATTTTGTGTGGGATAGAGCTATACTTGGGGGTCAGAGTTGAACTTTGGAAGGAGTGGCGGGGTGTGATTTATTGAGGGGGAGAGTGAAATATGCATGGATTTGGGGGTGAAGCACGGGGGTTTCTCATTCAGGCTTAGTGCATGCATAATGGCTGGGTCATCTGTGGGGACTAACTCCAGGACCTCTGGCTCTAAATGCGTAGAAGTGTCTAATGCTAGATCCACAAGACCAGGTCAATTAATTCAGATGCAGTAGAAGAGTCTAATCTACACATGGCCCAGCCACCGCATTCATAGAATTGCTATAGATCTTCTGACTCTGTGGGCTTCCTAGAAAGAGACTGGACAAGACTGTATGAAGGTTCGAAAAGCTATGTAAGGACAGGAAGGGGAGAGAGCAATTGGTTTAAGATCATCAACAGAGTTTGCCAAGGTTGCACCTCTCTTCTCTGCACTGTGATAGCTTATGTGATGCAAAGAGCAACATGAAAGGAAGCTGCAGGAGTTATGTGGAATAAAGAAAAACTTCACAATCTTGACTTTGCAGATGACCATGTTCTGTTGGACACAGAGATGGGGAGGGGTCCCTGGGACTAATGGTTATCAGGGCTAATGGGGGTGAGATTCAATGGGAGAGAGGGCATGGGAGAGTTGGAGAAGGAAGCAGTAGGGGTTGGGAAGAGCTGTGATGTCCCATGGGATTTGTGGCACTGAATGGAGATGGAGATGGGAGGGTTAGTTCAGGGCTGAAGTACTGGGTAAATTTCAAGGGCGGGGGGGACCATAAGTAGCTATCCAGGGAACTTGGGGGTGGCTAATGGGGGTGGGGAGTTTGCACCTGCACACGTCTTTATAATGTGAGTGGTTCAACATCTTGTGGAAAGTCACAGATTGTGCAGTCACCAACGTAGGTTTGGACTCAGATACCAGAATGCCAGTCTATCCAATACCATTATTTTGCGGCTCATGTACCCTGTGGTTAGTGTAGGCCAAGGGTAGTGTAAGTCAGTAGTCAAGAGGTAGACCGCGGGCCACATGTGGACCGCCAAACACTTTTGAACAAACCACAAAATCGTTTTATTTACTTATCATTGTTACTTTTGCATTATTTTCTCTGGCGTCTGGACCTTGACTACACCTTGACCAGGAAATTTGGACCCTGACAAAAAAAATAATTGGCTATCCCTGGTGTAGATTGTGACAAGTTTTTTCCCCCGAAGTATACATTGATTGTAAGACAACAGGCCATGGAAAGAGAAAATGCAGGGAACTCTTATGTCAGCTTTTAATTCCTGAAACCTTTCAACGCCATGGAATAACGCCTCATAAAATCATGTAATATATTCAAATTGGGATTTTTACACCGTGTTTATTTGCATATGGTCATTTGAGGTATTTTATTCCTGTAAGTGGAATAAAAAGAAATAAAACAAAATCTTTTTTTTCCCCATGGACAAAATGAAAGAACAAGAAATTCCCAAAAAATAAAATGAACCATTATAGAAGAATAAAAAGTAGGTCAGAGGGCTCTAAAAGTGAGAGCAGCTACACTGCCAAATGCTACGGTGGCACACACTGCTCGGATTAGCAGCACAGAGTAGCTGTTTTCCCTGCTGCAGGATTAGCTTGAATGTCAGCAGTACTTGGATCAGCTAAGTGGAGTATAAAACACCACTTAACTTGTGGGTGTGCACGGGAGTTGGGTATGGGGCAACGCTCGGTGTACCTCGAGCTGACACTGCAGTGAAGACATGCCCGTAGCAAGGAAAGAACATAGCAGGCCAGCTTTGAGACTTTAATTAAACAGTAGGGGGACCCTAGAGAATGGGAACTGTCCATTTCTATTGACCTTCTCATGATTCAGCCCAGTTTTTAGGGTATAGGAAGTGTGTGGTCACTGAAACAGGTTTATAACGAGGAGAAATTAAAGGAATCAGAAAAACTAAAACCACGGCAACACTAAGATTTGGCATCCAGCGTTACCACATTGGTTACATATTTTAATGCAGAGCCTTTGGTTTGACAGACTAGCCAGAGCAGTTCCTATGCATTGCTGGTGAGCTTCACCCCTCACTCCCACCCTAAAATTTCCAAGGACCAGTTTCCCTTTGGATGTGATGGGGGCACAATCAGACAGCCGAATGGAGCTTGGAGTTCAGACCAAACAAGTTCTAGAATGAGAGACAGAAATAAATCTGAGCATATTGTACAGCTCCCTCGCTGTCAGAGACCATAATCTCCAGTACAGATCCCCCAGAGAGGACCTTAAAATGACAGGGGGCTGGGGAGGGAAGCATACTTGGACAGACCACTGCATTGCGGTCACACAGATCCCAAACTGGCATACAGGAAGCGTGTTGTCCTACTTCAGGGATCCAGCCGATTGTGGTGGGGGTTGAGGCAGGAATACGGATGGAGGCAGATGTACTGGGTAATAGAGGAGAGGGAAAGCGCAAGGAAAGTTTACCAGAATGCCTTGTATTCATATAAACAAAAGGCCTTTGTTTTGCAACATCTAGTGGTGTTTCACTGGAGCGCTCATGAACAATAGAATCTGTATGTGTTGTTTTCAGTTCTTTGTAAAAAGCTACATTATGCACAAAACGTTTCTTATCTGTCCCTAGGAAGCTGTTTTGAGATAGTCAGCACATATTAATCCCTGGAAATGGCCTTACACTGTGATTTTTGCACTGCTTTATGCAAAAACACCACGAACAGAGCAGAGAGTCAGAAAGGGTCCCGTTTGTAAGAAGCCAAATTCACACCACATTAAAGTATTTACATTCAACAGTGGTAAATCCTAGATGGCTAGGGACGTTCAGAGATGGCTGCACTCAGCTCTGTGTGCAAGCAATGCACGTGTGGGCTCCAATTGGGTATTTGCACGCACACATGGCCAGTTATGCATCTAAGGTAGGTCTGCGCAGCAAAAGCTGTGTATGGACTAGCTCACTTTGTTAGCTTGAATCCAGCTAGCCCAGGTAAAAACTGTAGGGAAGATAACACCGCGTGGGCCAGTGAGCCGAGTGTGTACCTAGGGGCTGTGACAGGATTGTACTACCTATGCTGAAGCCAATGCTGTGCTGTCTTCACTGCTTCTGTTACCTGCACTAGCTGGATTCAAGTAGCTCAGGTGGGCAAGCCTCAACACAGCTTTTACTGTGTAGACAGGCCCTAAATGACCGTATTTATGAAACAGGTCATCCCCCTATGGCAGAGAGTTAATTTTCAAGATCTGCCTGCCCCCAGGCACAACGGTGGCGTCATTTTTAGTAAAACTGAGGCCATGTGAGGTAAAGCTTTGGACACATAAATGTATCATGCCTTCTGCCATCCCCAGAGCCCCCTACCGTAGAACCTCAGAGTCCCAAACACCTCGGGAATGGAGGTTGTTCGTAACTCTGAACAAAACATTATGGTGGCTCTTTCAAAAGTTTACAACTGAACATTGAATTAATACAGCTTTGAAACTTTACTATGCAGAAGATAAATGCTGCCTTCCCTTTATTATTTTAGTAGTTTACATTGAACACAGTACTGTCCTGTATTTGCTTTTTTCTGTTTGATCTCTACTGCTGCCTGATTGCGTACTTCTGATTCGAAATGAGGTGTGTGGTTGACTGGTCAGTTTGTAACTCTGCGGCTCTACTGTGCCAAGAGAGCTTGCCATGATGCATACATGAGAGTATTCTGGTTATATTTTTGTTCATATAGATCGGGGTGGGCAAACTTTTTGGCCCGAGGGCCATGAATGCTCACAAAATTGGGGTTAGAGTGCGGGAGGGGGTGAGGGCTGTGCTTGGGGCCATAAATGAGGAGTTCAGGGTGTGGGAGGGGGCTCTAGGCAGGGATCAAGGGGTTCGGAGGGTGGGAAGGGGGGATCAGGGCTGGGGTAGAGGTTGGGGCACGAGGGGAGGCTTAGGGGTGCAGGCTCTGGGCGGCGCTTACCTCAAGCAGCAACATGTCCTTTCTTGGGCTCCTACGCATAGGGGTGGCCAGGGGGCTCTGCTCTGCATGCTGCCCCATCCGCAGGCACTGCCCCTGCAGCTCCCATTGGCTGCAGTTGCCAGCCAATAGGGATTGCGGGGGCAGCGTTCAGAGTGGAGCCCGCTGGCTGCCCCTACACGTAAGAGCCGGAGGGGGGCCAGGCTGCTGCTTCCAGGAGCCGCGTGGAGTGGCCCCTGATCCCGCTCCCCAGCTAGAGGGCCGGAGCGGGGCACGCCCCAGACCCCACTCCACAGCGGGAGCTTGAGGATGTGCTGCCTATCTGAGACATTACGGAAGGATTACTGAGCATCATCTGGCCCTCTGACTTTTACCCCATGCTGCTCATCCAAGTGGGCACTAATTATACTGTGTGATATGACCCTGAGCAAATCGGAAGTAACTACAGGACTCTGGGAGGGAGTGTGAGGGAGTTGGGGGCGCAGGTGGTGTCACCTTCCGGTCACGGGTAGGGGGCTCAGGCAGAGAAAGCCATCCTGGTGGTTAATGCCTGGCTGCGCAGATGGTGTCACCGGGAGGATTTTGGCTTCTGCTGAGAAGAGTCCACCGATCAAGGAAGGGAAAGAGGAAGAGTATCTAGGTTTGATGCGGGCAGGAGGGAAAAGCCCACAGGTAATTCCAGAACATGGAGACCTGGGTGCAGGGTCAAAATCCTAGGGGGGTGGGGTGGGGAGGAGGAACGTAGGCAATCACAGCAGGAGCAAAGGAGAGACAAGAGGGAATACAGATGGGAAATCTAATAAAGAGAAAGAGCTAGAAATACTAAGGAATAATCACAATTATGACATAATTGGCACCACAGAGACTTGGTGGGTGGGATAATTCCCATGACTGGAATACTGGTACAGAAGGGAACAGCTTCTTCAGGAAGGATGAGCAGGGGGAAAAAAGAGGAGGAATAGCAAAGATGCATTACCCGTGCACTGAGGTTGATAAAGAAGTGGAAAACAGACCCATTGAAAGTCTCTGGATAAGGATAAAAGGGATAAAAAACAAGGGTGGTGTCATGGTAGGGGTCTAGTATAGACCAGGAGGAAGACGTGGAAGGATCTTTTTGTAAACAACTAATCAAATCATTGAAAACACAGTAGTTGGTGGTGATAGGGGACTTCAACTATCCAGACATCTGTTGGGAAAATAAGACAGCAGGGCACAGATTATCCCACAAGTTCTTGGAATGCACTTTTTATTACAGAAGGTGGAGAAAGCGACGAGCGGAGAGGTTGTTCTAGACTTGATTCTGACAAATAGGGAACTTGGGTTGGGAATTTGAAGGTGGAAGGCAGTCTGAGTGGAAGTGACCATGAAACAGAATTCATGATTCTAAGGAATGGTAGGAGGAAAAACAGCAGAATAAAGACAATAGACCTCAGCAAACTCAGAGAATTGGTAGGTAAGATCCTCTGGGAAGCAACTCCAATGGGGACGGGGGAGGGACGACTTCAGGAGAGTTGGCAATTTTTTAAAAAGACATTATTAAAAGCACAAGAGCCAACAATCCCAGGGTGTAGGAAAGATAGGAAGAATAGTAAGAAACCACCCTGCATTAACCAGGAGATCTTCAACCACCTGAAATTCAAAAAACAGTCATACAAAAAGTGGAAACTGGGTCAAATTACAAAGGATGACATATATATGTACTATATATAATAAAAACAACACCACAAGCATGTAGGAATAAAATTAGAAAGGCCACGGCACAAAATGAGTTTAAACTAACTAGGGACATAAACGGTAACAATAAAACATTTTACAAATACATTAAAAGCAATGGGAAAACCAAGGACAGAGTAGGCCAAGAGAAGACTGAGGGGGATATGATAACAGTCTTCATATATGTAAAAGGTTGTTATAAAGAGGAAGGTGATAAATTGTCCTCCTTAACCACGGAGGACATGACAAGCAGTAAATCTTTAATTGCAGCAAAGGAAATTTAGGATAGTTATTAGGAAAAACTTCCTAGCTGTAAGGGTAGTTGTAGAATCTCTGTCACTGGAGGTTTTCAAGACCAGGTTAGATAAACATCTGTCAGATATGGTCTAGATCAGGGGTGGCCAACCTTTGGCTCTGGAGCCACATGCGGCTCTTCAGAAGTTAATATGCGGCTCCTTGTATAGGCACCGATTCCGGGGCTGCAGCTACAGGTGCCAACTTTCCAATGTGCCGGGGGGTGCTCACTGCTCAACCCCTGGCTCTGCCATGGGCCCTGCCCCCACTCCACCCCTTCCCACCCCCTCCCCTGAGCCTGACATGTCCTCGCTCCTCCCTCTCCCCCCCAGAGCCTCCTGCACACCACAAAACAGCTGATCGGGAGGTGTGGGACGGAGCGGGAGGCGCTGATCGGCAGGGCTGCCGGTGGGCAGGAGGCACTGGGAGCCGGGGTGGGGAGCGGACGTATTACTGTGGCTCTTTGGCAATGTACATTGGTAAATTCTGTCTCCTTAACAGGCTCAGGTTGGCCACCCCTGGTTTAGATAATACTTAGGTCCTGCCTCAGTGTAAGGGACTGGACTAGATGACCTACTGAGGTCCCTTCCAGTCTACATTTCTATGATTCTATAGATAATAAAAGTGAAGCATAGAGGTATTAATCAACTTAATCCCTCAAAGGACGCCTTTATTGCAGACTACCGTATGTAACAGATCTAAAACTTCATTTACTAGATGAATAGGCTGAAGTTTTACCTGTCTGGTTAAGTCAACCAGTCAGTTGAGTATTTTTTTAAAATCCCAATGTTCAGTTATAAAAAGAGCGAAATATACTTCCTTGTGTTTCATCCACATTTTACTAAAAAAAAAAAAAAAAAAAAAAAAAAACACCTTTCTTTTGCAAACATATTTTGGGAACTCCCCTGATTTTTCAGCTAATGTAACAGAAAATGAACACTCATATCTACCAGCATTTCCCCTAATCCCAAGATCAATGCCCTCTTTACATAGAAATCAGCACGGAAAAAAGACAAATCTTATTACATCAGGTGTATGTCTGTAATTTAGTATGTATAAAATCTCTTTACAAAAATCAAACTCCTACACAAATGCACACACTTAGTAAATGCTCATCTGAATATAAAAAACAATCCAAATGATGGACTGTGCACTTCTTCTGGTTTTCTTGAAATCTACACAAACTATAATATTACCAGGCCGCTTATTATATGGAAAAAAATGTATGGTTAGATGGGAGAAGCAATAAAGAGTACAAAAAAGCTAGGTTTCAATCCTGCAGCCGTTAACATATGTTTAACTCACACCGGGTATGTCTACATAGGAGCTGGAGGTGAAATTTCCAGTTTCAAGGAAAGATACCGACACTAGATCTGACTGAGTTCGGGCACTAAAATAAACGTGTAACTACGGGGGTATGAGCAGTGGGAGGGGCTAGACTTCCTAAGTATGAGGATCTGAGACCCTAGGTATGTATCTGAGCAGCTAGCCCCTCCCTCTGTGGCAGCTACACTTCTATTGTTAGCATGCTAGCTTGATCAGAACTAGCACCTCGAGATGGAAATTACACCTTCCAGCTCCAACGTAGACATATTTATAAGTGATCTCATGGTGCTTATAGTGTTAATAGGGCCCTTAAATTGTAACAATAGTCATCACAATATGTCTGAGATGGCCCCAGAAATGTTACCAGTTATGGTATTTTGAATGCGTATACAGGAGACAAAACATAGCTTCTAATAAAAGATTTCATAAGCACCAGTAAAGAGCCAGTCTTCAGTCTCAGTCCTCTATCAAGTTGTGTTTAAAGCTTCGAACAATCGGTTTAAAAAAATAATAATAATTTTTGCATCATTGCTATTTAAAAGTGCCCTTACCTGCACAAGGAAAATGATGAGGAAATAAAAGTTGGCAATTCTTCTGAACTGTTCAAAAAGATTCTTCGGAAGAAAATTCCAGACAGTGTACTGCAGGGTGAAAGAACAGAGAGATAAGCTGTGCAAATAATACCAGCACATAAATTTTCAGAACGTCAATAGAACCAAAGATCGACAGGAAGCTACATTCATCCAGGGATTGAGAGTTAAAGAAAGGGAATTTATGTTTAGAAGTTTCCTAAGAAATAAGATTTCATTTAAAAAAAAGGTCAAGTAGTTATATTGGACAGATGTATCCCTGGTATAATTTCACGGATGTTATACCCAGGATAGATTTGGCCCAAGGTGTTAGTTCTCTTATTATTGAACCTCTTCAGAAACTCACAATAGCATTAAGCAATTCTAATGGCATACTATCTGTGTATTTTTAACGTGCCTATCACCATTGTATCTAGACTCATTAGCATCAAATATTGAGAGTAAGGGGGCACTTTGTGAGTAGCTGCTACATGAATGCACAGGGGGAAACAGCCCAAGGAGTCTTCCTCTATTGTTTCTCTCACAAAGAGACCAGACATCACCAAGGTCATACGTTCTGTGGCAATAGGGATGAAGGATTCTTAATCCTGCTCCAGACCTCGTGCGATGCATAAAAAGGACTGGCAGAGCAGCAGAAAAGTGCCCTAAAAGCCCTGGATTCAGCCAAGGGAGAAATCCCCCTGGGCAAGGGCTGAGGAAAACAGCTCCAGGTTGCCTCTCTAAACTCAGCCTAGGAAACACAGGGTGTGATGCTGGCGGCAGGGCTGCAGCAAGTAGCACTGCTGTGGAGGGTCTAGGCCGCACTGCCACCCGTAGGGGACAGGCTGCTGTAACTCGGCCAGATCCACAGATCTGTCAGAATTATTCTGGGGCCACTTCGACCCCTGCAGAATTGGGAGGCCACAAAGATGTGTCACAGCTCTGCTGAGTGGATGTCTGGGGCCTTGCAGGTCTGTTTTCCAGTGGAGAGGAAATCGGTGGTGCAGAGCGTGGATATATTCTAAGATTAACACACATACACCTGTCCCGAAATAAGACGGTCAAACAGCACGCAGGACAACGCCTCCTTTCAGGAATCTCAAACCAACATCAATGCCTGGTTCACAGAGAGCAGCAAAACGCTCCTGCTGGTTACACAGCTTCCAACCCCACCCCTGGGACCACTGTTTCTATACAGAGACCTCACTAAAAAAAAAAGGACAGCACCACCACTATGTGTCTGCCCAAGACCGACTGACTGCTTGCACATTAAGAAAGAACTCGGAACTCTGTGTCTAACAGTGCCACCAGCCAGTTCAATCCAACTTACCCCCTGGGCTATGAATTCTGGGCTGCATCTCCTCTTATAGAGGTGCAGCATACAGAGTCTCGCCCTGTATTCCGCAACAAAGCTACTTGAATTCTCCATCACAACTGGGAAGGCGGATGAGGAAATTCGGTAGCAGATCTGGATAAATTCCAAAATGGAAGTTTTATCTGAATTAAATACGAACGAGAACACTGTTCCCTCAGAGGGATTTATTTTATATTAAATTCAGCTCGTTTTTCGGCTGACCTTAAATTTTGGATTGTGTATGTATTGCAAGTTTTCGCACTGACAATGGCCACGGCATGGTAGAAGTTGGTGGGGGGAAGAGAGAGGAGGAATGGAGGTTCTCATAGCTGGGTGGGCAGCTACTGGGACTTTTGGACCATGGAAGTAGCTTGGGATTGTAGGATACAGACAGTAACCGATGTAGCAGTGAAATAGTTAAAGAAGCATCTGCAGTGTGCCTTATTGCCACACAACCGAAGAGACATCTAGGGTGACCAGATGTCCTGATTTTATAGGGACAGTCCTGATATCTGGGGCTTTGTCTTATATAGGCACCTACTACCCCCCACCCCGTCCCGATTTTTCACACTTGCTGTCTGATCACCCTACCTACATCTACAAGGTCGGTGGAAAAATTAAACCCACACTCCGGACCACATGCTTTCCTTTATCCATCCACACTCCTCCCCTCATGTCAAGTGAAGCACATGGTCCCTCCGATGGGCAGTAACTTCCCTGTAATTGCACTCCTGTCTGAAGTAAGTGTGAGGCCAACTAACATCCTCATAAAAGGCAGTGTGATAGGACTGCAGCCCCCAAGACCCACACTGGGACTGAAGACAGACATGTGCGCCGACTGACAAGCACCAGATTGTTTGCTGCCCGACCTTGAGTCCAAGGTTATTGCTTAGAAAAAAAACTCAGTGAAGTCAGAATTAAACTGGTTCAACAGAACAGGTCTAGCTCTGACAGAACATAAAACGTTGGCGCTAAAAGCTGGGGTACAGAATAGACTGGGTGAAACTTCCGGGACTTTGCTAAAAAGTCAATATTTGCACCCCCATTACAATTCCTTCCCACAGAAAAGCCTAAGACGCTGTTTGACTCCTATACTGCACTTCCTCTTTCCACATGCAAGAGCAGTGCCAATTGTGCAATTAAGTTGAGAAAATATCCACCTTCATCTTCTGCCCCACTCCCCCCCTCCCCCCAAAAAATCCATTTTTTTCCCTCTACTTTTTTCTATTTGGCTGTTGTAGCTTGCAGGTGGAAACAAACAGTTTGTGAAGTCAGCAGCAGCACAGAACTCTGCTTCTCCAATTGTTCTGGGAGACAGAATCACAGTCAAAAAAACCTGTCGAGATTTCACTACATTAATTGAAGGATGGGTGGGGGGTGCAGGAGGGGTGCTTTTCTAACATTAGCTCACACACCTGCTTCAAAAGAGTCAGGTTATTCCTATTATGGCAATGCTTCAGCCAACCACCATTCTAATTCTAGCATGAGAACATGCCAATAGTCTCACGAACACCTGCAATGTGAGGTGAATGTGCTATGCCAGGGGTAGGCAACCTATGGCACGTGTTATGGCACGGGTAGGCAAGCTGATTTTCAGTGGCACTCACACTGCCCGGGTCCTGGCCACTGGTCCGGGGCTCTGCATTTTCATTTAAATTTTAAATGAAGCTTCTTAAACTTTTTAAAAACCTTATTTACGTTATATACAACAATAGTTTAGTTATATATTATAGACTTATAGAAAGAGACCTTCTAAAAACGTTCAAATGTATGACTGGCACGCGCAACCTTAAATTAGAGTGAATAAATGAAGACTCGGCACACCACTTCTGAAAGGTTGCCAACCCCTGTGTTATGCTCACTGGAAGGTGGAGGTCCGTATTTCCAGATTATGTACAATAGTTTTAGCAATACAGATTGAAAGCAGTCATCATGCATCAGGCAACACTGAAGCAGGAGGGAAGGGAAGGTTATCAGTGTTGATGTCTTATATCTTGCAAGTTACCAGAGCTGGAGATGAATGCACCATTCAGGAAGTGCCCTCGGTCCAGTTGTGCTATTTTGCCACTGGGCATGAACAGAAGAACTGCAAGTCTTGGAATTTAGACTAGTGTCATTTTCAATCCCTGGCTCCTTTGACAGACGACGGTCTAGATTTATCCCTTGCTAGTTTGCTGAAGACATGCAGTAGTGTTGGATCCTGAAGCCCTCCCACATGGAAGGGGCCCATTAAAAAAAAAAAAAAAAAAAATCACCATAGCTATTCCTGTGTTTAAGGGCTATAGGAGAAGATTCATAGTAAATATATCTAGGGTTATTAGTGCCATTACTGGATTTGTGCTAAGCCACAAAAGGCTTCAGTCCTATGGTATAATGGCCCTTTAACTAAAGTTACCAGGCCCAGAGCCTCCCTTCATTGATCACAGCCGCGAAAAGGGCTCCTCAGTGACGTAGCTTTAAGTCCCCTTTGTGCTGCTGACTTTGCAAACTTCAAGATCTGGCCCACTGGGTTTTTTGCACTTCAGTAAATACAATTACACACCAATATGCAACATAACTCCATGTTCTTTCTTCTAACTTTGTACTTTAAATTCTGGCTTCCTTCATTGACTTATAAACAAGAGTATTGTCTGGATTTTAATTTAAAAAAAAATCAATTATTCCCAAGTTTGACACCCCCTCTTCCCCACATAAACAATTGGAGGAGGTTAGGGGAAAGAGTACAAAAATCAATGGGACTCCCGCCTGTAAATAGCTTTTAGTGCTGCATGCCACACATCAAAAGGAAACAATGCTCAAATAATGAATTTTTTCTCTCTGCTGTGAAGATAACCCCTTAAAATCTTGAGACTCCATACTCTCGCTTTTTTCTCTTAAAAAAAAATTATCGAAGGAACTGCATACATGTTTGCTATTGGAACACTGCCTTGTTGCCTTGCTTGCAATTTGGCTTCTCACATTTTTTAGGGGTGAGAAAGGGAGAAGATCACGATCGTTTGTTTTGGAAAAAATAACGACATGAACTTTAAAAGCAAGTTTAAGAAACAAAACAGGTCAAATAGATGTGTCCTTTGAAATAACAAGTCCCTTTTCCCAGAGTCATACTGACATCATTAATGATGCTTGTGCACAGATAATAAGCAAACAATGAAGACTCACCTCCACATCAGCTTCATTTTAAACATTGGAGGGCAGGAGAGGAAAAAGGGGAGGAGGAGAGAGGGGTAGGCATGGACTCTTCCTTCCCAAATATAAAAAGGTCAAAAATCAATAGGGAAATAACTTTAAAAAAAAAAAATAATAATCGATGAAGTTCTACACAAGATTAGTGTTTTTAAAATAATTCAATTATTCACTAACGAAACAAAAAAACCCAAATGGATATTCCCTAATGGCACAATCTTGCAGATCTAATGCAAAAACGTCAAACGGCGTTTTACCTAGGTCAGCCTGCGGGAACTGGTCCCTAGCACAAAGTCAGTTCTGGTTCTAATGCAGACAGCAAAAGGATATAAAAGGCAGCAGACGTTTGAATTGTTTGGAGCAGAAAAAAAAAATATGCCCACTGTAACCTTTAAATCGTAAGTATGGTACGACTAAAGTCTGTAACTATATACTGGGCATCCCCAAAGCCACCTTAGTAACAAGCTAAATATACGTTCACCCAACTAGCTTAACAATAGCGGTTGCCAGCTGTCTGACATTGTACTTCAATTTTTCCAAGTCTTTTGAAATAGCTTGATAGATGTCAAGTAAAATAAGATCAACCAGAAGATAGGTGTCATCACATTGTGTTCAGAATAGACAAATGCTATATTAATAGAGTACTGCATGGTTTCCTCTTTATCCAACAGAAAGGCCAAGAGTTAAAATACACACTGTACTAAGTTATTTTTGTCCTACTTGAAAAGACAAAAAAAAAAAAATGAGACCTGTCGTGCTTCTAGATATCTGTTCATTTTATAACCAAACAAATCCCAAACGAAAACCTTGCAAGTCACCAACCACATCAGATATTGTCTTGCCTTTATATTTTCACTCTCCAAACAATGGAGACCCAGAAAACATTGAAGCAGGTACTACTCTTTGTGCCTCAATATTATTCAACACACAGAGGGGGAACTCATGTGTGCATTCACTCAGTGGGCATTAATAAGGAAGTGTATATACAAACCAGTGGTTTGGTGCAAAATGAGCTTCCAAGCTGCTTTCAGATTGCATCAGGAAGATCATAAATTAGACTCAGAAGGAGGTATCATAATATGCCCGTGTGTTATTAACAAATGCAATTCTAATACCATTTGCACATCTCTCCTAAACCCCAGTGGGACATTTTGTGCAAAATTAGAGAGCAGAACATAACATTTCATCCCCTACCTCTCAATAGGGGGGTTCAGAGAGAAGAGTCTCTTTAATACAAGGTTTTAGACTACAACCCACAGTCCTATTAGATTAACAATCTTGGTTATTAAAACTCCTACCACACCGGCAATGGAACAGCTGAACACTGGGGCAATTTCTTCTTGCAAAGAGCATTTTAACTACTCAAGTATAGATTTCTGAGGTTTTAAATGTCAGGAAGCCATGACTGATGATGAAATACAATAAGGTTGAGGAACAGGAACGTGCAAACTTTCCAGTTGATTAAATGACCATAGCTCATGGAATAAGAGAACCAACTTACCTTGGATGAGACAATTCTATTATCACAGAATTTCTGCTCGACGTAAGCATCGGTTTCTGAAACAGGGCGGTGGCCAACAAACACGGTGCGCGTCCCAACTCGTTTCTCTTCGCCAGCGCACTGTCAGAGACAACAAGGTAAAGGCAAGTTAAGTCCCTGGCTCTCAAGTTCACACATTTCCATGCATGTGTCCAGATAACGAGTTCCACATGCTTCGGATTCTGATGGCTCCCTCACAGCCTTTCTGAACTTCCATTGTCCTGGGCTCTCTTATTACAGTGTTGAATAGAATGAATGCAGTGCAGAAGTGATTATATTCATGGTCTTCCTATCTCACACAAGGGGTAATAATTACCTTTCCAAATACCAGAAGACCACATTTACACCTTTATCAGCCTTTCCTGGTCCACTGCGAATGCCTAAATAAATTTGTTAGTCTCTAAGGTGCCACAAGGACTCCTCGTTGTTCTCGCAGATACAAACTAACGCGGCTACCACTCTGAAACCCAAGATATATATGAGACACAAAGTGGGTGAGGTAATAATCTTTTATTGGACCAACTTCTGTTAGTGAAAGATGCAAGCTTTTGAGCTTACAAAGAGCTCTTTCACCAACAGAAGTTGGTCCAACAAAAGGTACTGCCTCACCCACCTTGTCTCTCTATTCTGGAACCAACGTGGCCACAACACCACTGCAAATAAGATATGTAAGAAAGCAAAGTTTTCCTCTACGTCTGAGCATTTCTATTAGTGGCTGGCATCTCTCAAGTGGAAATATTCCAATCTGCTCGAGTTGCCTTAAACTGTTACTAAGAAGAAACCTTTCCACTTTCTGCTTCAGGAGGGGGGAAAATACCCTTTGAGGGCTTTGTCAGTCATTGCCTTGGGCTCCCCAATGTGAGCTATTTTGAGCTTCTGACCTCTGAACACATCTTTAGACCGACCTTGAAATCTCTTCTGATCTGTGGCCGAGTCATTCTAAACATTTTGATTTGTTGTTTCCTTTTTAATCTTCATATGTTCCGCTAAAACATCATTGTGTGAATATTTAAGAAAAATTCTTCTTAGAGCTTGTCTACAGAAACCACTTCCGTTTGCGGCAAGATTGGGTATAAATCTACTCTGCACACTAGGCACCTGCGTGGACTCTGTTGCCGGGCACTAAAAGTCCCCTAAGTGCACGTTCATCTACTCAAGGTAGAAGCATCTGCAGTGCGCCAAAAAGGCAGGTGTTAGCTGTGTTATTAGAGTGTCAAGAAAATTAATTATTTTTCTTCTCGTTTAAGCATTCAGGTGCTCAAGAACATTTCAGCTGGGTGGTGAGCACAGGCAGAGAGACACAAAAGGGACCTCCACCGTTTCAAAAGGAAAAGTTTCGTTACGGAGATTTTTAGGAAGCAACGTTAATCTTAACTAAAGTCTCAGCAGACAAAAAAATATTGTTTCCAGTCCTTGGAGGTGGAAACCATTGAGGCACGCTGTGGTAGGCAAGGTGAATGACTGCATCACAAATTTTACAGTCTCCATCTGCTGGCAGGGAGGATCATACCCACGTCTACGAGCTGGGATATCAGGCCACTGGAGGGCCAGTCCAACTGGTAGTAACCATCCCGCCAAGTCTTGAGTTTTTAATCACTAGTCTCAGCATATTTGGGGTTTCTCTTAAAGTCACAGCTCCCGGTGTCATGTGATTACAAAATGAAAGCAGAGATAAAGTACGTTTCTAGCCTTCGCGTTTTCAAAGGAAAGATTGAGAACGTGGAACTCTGGAAGCTCAAAAAACAGAATAAAAAAAATCCTTTTTTTTGTTTCTTTTTTTCTATAAATTTCAGGAGTTTAAAGCCAATCATGATTTTTGAGGCCTGACTCGTCCTATTACAATACTGGGTGTTTCCACACTTCCCTTGTCAGGCCTCTCAGTTCCAGCTCTCAGCATCTCACATGTTTCCTCTCTAGTTGCACTTCTCTCCCTCTGTGCCATTCCAACTGAAGTATGTTTTCCTTGATGGCTCTCTGTGCTATTCTCCTCTTTAAACACTGCATTTCCCAGAGACAAACCCGCGTGAATGTGGAAAATCCATTCTGCTCCCAGCCCCGGTGCCGGAAATTGCTACTATATAGGAGAACAACTCGGGAGTGTTTCCAGACGACTACCTAAGTAATCCCAGTTTCATGCAGATAGTTGTAGGATTCACGTAATCCCATAGTTGCACTTTAAAGCTCTACATCGGGGTAGGCAACCTATGGCACGCGTGCCGAAGGCGGCACGCGAGCTAATTTTCAGTGGCACTCACACTGCCCGTGTCCTGGCCACTGGTCCGGGGGGCTCTGCATTTTAATTTAATTTTAAATGAAGCTTCTTAAACATTTTAAAAACCTTATTTACATTATATATAACAATAGTTTAGTTATATATTAATTATAGACTTATAGAAAGAGACCGTCTAAAAACGTTCAAATGTATTACTGGCACGCGAAACCTTAAATCAGAGTGAATAAATGAAGACTTGGCACACCACTTCTGAAAGGTTGCCGACCCCTGCTCTACATCAATGTCAAAAGGCTAAAATATGGCAGGCAGGCAGACAGATTTCTTTTTTTAAACCAGAGTGAGATGCTACAAATGAATTATAACCCATGGTCACACCTTAATTAATTCCCCTAGACCGGATAGCCTTCATAGCAAAAAGAACAACAGGACGTAGGGTATTTATAAACACGTCAGAGATCTGGGTCAAACATGAAAAGAATTTCTCTTGTCATTAAAACAGACCGGTTACATTCTCTCCCTCCTTTCCCCACTCATGCTCTCTCTCACACACATTAACCAAACAAAAACAAAGAAAACTCTGATGGAAAATATTTTCACCTGGAAGCACAAAAAGACCCCAAAATAATAAAAATTTTAAAAAACGAACACATTTCCAGCAGGATATTAGTACTAATTGTGTGCACTGTAGTGGTGCTCTAAATCCCCAGTCAGGATCAGGGCCCCACTGTGATAAGAACTACATAATAATAAATATAATATATGGAGATATACCTACCTCATAGAACTGGAAGGGACCCTGAAAGGTCATTGAGTCCAGCCCCCTGCCTTCACTAGCAGGACCAAGTACTGATTTTGCCCCAGATCCCTAAGTGGCCCCCTCAAGGACTGAACTCACAACGCTGGGTTTAGCAGGCCAATGCTCAAACCACTGAGCTATCCCTCCCCCCACAGGAAGGCACAATCTTTGCTCTCAAGATTTTACAATCTCCTTTGCAGACGTGCACCATTTGTCTAGTGGTGAGAACGGCATGAGGAGACAGCCAAATCGATTCCCATTTCATATTCTGCAATATTTGTGCATAAATCAAGATCAAACACTTAAGATTCCCACTGCCTTACATTTGCTGCTGGGAGGAAAAGTCAGAGGGTTAGCTATAATTCCGTGATCATTTTCTTAGGTCTTGTGCACATCTGGAAATTAATCCAGAATAAAGTAGGATGTGAATTTAAACTGCAAGAGCTATACCAGAATAGCTCCCCACGTGGATGCGCTTATTCCAGAATAGTTTGAATCCGCTTTGAAAGCATATTAAGCTAAACCCGCAAATGGCACTAGCGCTATTCTAGAATAGCTCTTACAGAACAGCTATTGCCGTCAGTTGCCAAGTGTAGAGACCAGTCTTGCATTATCTTTAATTTACTCAGTGTTTTAAGTTCTTGAGGGAATATGCAACTACATGCAAGTCTTTTTAATGCAACAAAGAACGCCCTAAAGGTAACGTATGTAAAAGGCAAGGAACCTGAAAGCTCATTTAGTGAGACGAATACCACTACTTGGAAAGCTCTTGTACGTTAAATCCCAACCTGTTATAAATTACCTTGACTCAATTCAATAGCAGGAAAAGTGGCTTTTACAATTTTGCAATTAATATTTGACAGCTAGATCGATACATTATTACCATACAGATATATAGTGGATATTAGTTTGTATGGAAAGAAAGCAGTAACCTGTAGCCCTCAGAAATTCTTTACTTGAATGGGGAAAGCATTGGATGTGCAGTATCCTGTTGGGCTGACACATTTGCACTGGCTTCTGATTGGCAGCCACACACAAGCTTCCTGGCAGTTTAAAAGTGACCATTTTAGAACAAACCACAACAACAATTTCTTAATTAGGTTCCCATCCTTTCTAAATTATTATCTTGCATGTAAGATAATCATTCACTGACCACACCACACTGAGAAACTCACAATTGTCTGACCCCGAGAATTCTGTTCCCAGCAGTACTAAGCTGGCAGTTTCTCTCTGGGGTCTCCGAGTCTCTCTTTCTTGGTACTTAATGCTACGTATTCGGAAATTTTAAAACCGGTTGAAAAACACTGTTGTGTTCAGAAAAGCAACAACATTTTCTTTGAAGCCGCTTTTCTAAAATAATCTCCTCAAGCTGTAAACCACGGCAGCTCCAACTGAAACCAAGACAGGAAGACTAGTTTTCTACTCCCAACAGTCTGGCAGATTAAATTAAGTAGCATCTTTGCCCAGAGACTGATGTGCCTACCAGACTCTAAACCAGGGGTGGGCAAACTATGGCCCGGAGGCCACATCTGGCCCTTCACACATTTTAATCTGGCCCCTGAGCTCCAGCCGGGGAGCGGGGTCCGGGGCTTGCCCCACTCCGCACATGCCAGGGCTCCATGAGGTTCCCAGAAGCAGCGGCATGTCCCCCCTCCACCTCCTATGCATAGGGGCAGCCAGGAGGATCCGCACATTGCCCCCACAGCTCCCATTGGCCAGCAACCACGGCCAATGGGAGCTGCAGAGGTGGAGAGCCTGCAGATGGGGCAGCACGCAGAACTACCTGGCCGTGCCTCTGCCTAGGAGCTGGAGGGAGGACATGCCATGGCTTCCAGGGGCTGCTTGAGGAAAGCGCCACCTGGAGCCTGCACCCCTGACTCCCTCCTGCACCCCAACCCTCTGCCCCAGCCCTGATCCCCCTTCCGCCCTCCGAACCCCTCTGTCCCAGCCCAGAGCACCCTCCTGCACCCCCCAACCCCTCATCTCCAGCCCCACCCCAGAGCCCGCACCCCCAGCCAAAGCCTTCACCCCCTCCCACACTCCAATCCCCAA